ATTTATGTAAACAAAAAAAAAAAAAAAAAAAAGGAAAAAGAACTTCACAAACAAATACCAAAATGTTTGCAAAGCTACTTAAAACAACTAAGTGCAAATTAGTTTTGGTGCATATCAAGTATGGGAGTCTAAAGTGAATAGCGGAGGTGAATCAGGGGTTAAGCTGAGCTTCTAAAAACTACATGTTATGAATTACTCTATTCATTTTTTCCAGTTTTTATTATGAAAATGTTCACGTATACAACTAGAGTTTATGATGGTTAACATGTAGCCATTTACTTATATATGACTATGTATGTTTTTTCTTGAAACTTTTGAAAGTAAATTGCAAATATTTCATCCCTATAAATACTCAGTATGCATCTCCTACCAAAAAGAGTGTTTACCCACATGACCCCAATACCATTATCACATCTAAAAGTAACAGTAATGTCCTGATAGCATCTAATAATCAGCTAATAGTCAGATTGATATCTAAATTATTCTCAATTGCCTCAAAAGCCGCCTTAGAGCTGTTTCAGCCCCCTCCCCCAAAATCAGGACCCACACATTACATTTACTCAAGTCTTCTTCAGTCTCTTTCATCTCTTCACTTTTTTTCCCCATGACAATAGGCCATTTCTTTTGAAGAATATTCTGGATTTGAGGGGTTTTTTTCTCCCTCATAGTAATAGTTGTTTCCCTTTTTGAAGACAACAGGCCATTTCTCTGAAAGAATATTCTGGATTTGCATTTTTTTCTCATAGTAATATTTGTTCCCCTATCCCTGTATTTACTGAAAACTGGATTGTTAGGCCTAAAGACTTAATTATATTCAAGTACACATTTTAGATAAGATACTATATTGGTGATGTATACTTCATATTGCAACTCATTGAGAGGCACACAAGGTCACGTCATTTCCATTCTTAATGGTATTAAGCTAAATAGTCTGGTTAGAGTAATTACCATTAGCTAAATTTATTGTAAAGATATATAGTTCGCTTTGCAATGATCAAAGGATGAAATTTGAGTATCTCAGAATAACCTGTCTTCCACTAGTTTCAGCATCCGTTAGTGATTATCCTGAACCATGTTATTTGGCATTGCAAAATGGTGAATATCTAATTTTGTCACCCCTTCTGCTGTCATTCTTCTATAAAGAAAAGCTTTCACTCATCAAATAGGCACGACCTACACTTCCTCCTAAAAAAAGCAAGGTGCTTCTGACCCTTTCATTGCCAATTTTCAGAAAAAGAAATTGATGTAATAGTCACCTCCCATGGTAACAACTTAATTTTTTTTCATTTCTGTTTTAGAGGATTACTATGCACTGATTTTTTAAAAATCCATTCAGTATTTTGGTAAAAAATCAAAGCAGTTTGATTTCTACAAAGTATAAGTTTTAATAATTATTATTTTAAATTACTTTTTAAAATTTGGTAAGACTGAATGCGAAGTCTGAGTCCTAATGGATGGAATGGAGGGTAACAGGGTTAATCAGAATAATTTTTTAAAACTATATTATTAAGCATCTCTAATCATTTTTTTTTTTAATTTATGAGATGTTCTTTTTAAAAAGTCTCTGAGTACCTTACCCAGAGTGTAACTGAAAACAAGAATGTCAAAAAGGCACATTTAAATTGTTCTCAAAATCAATCAAAAATAATGAGGTGCTAGGAAAAAGTTGTATCCTTGATAATTACATCTATCAGTATCAGAAAACAAAAGAGAACAATCAGGAAATGACAATCCCACTCCCAAGTAGCACATTTAAAAAGGCTAATGAAAAAAAAAGTCTCTTTTAAAAATGTACTAAATTAGCATTTCAAGTAAATTGACAACTTAAGCGTTGATAAAGGCCAATCTGGGGCCCAAACAATGGAAGTTCTGTTTCTACTTTTATCTGCTTTTAAAAGAAATTATCTCACTTGACTTTTTTTGTTGTCTTTTATATAAATGTAAGTAATTGTCCTAAGGGAGGTGACAATCCTCAAGTACTCTGCAAGGGTCAGATCATACCTGGAATATCAAGCTTCATTTGGGGTTCTATTTCTTAAAACATTGACCTGGAGATAGGTAACCAGGATGGGAGGTAATTCGTTTCTTACATTGTGCCCCTATGTTCCGTCTGAAAAGGGGCTCATGTAATTGTCATATTAGACAATGGATTCAACCTCTTCTTTGTGTAGTACCAGAGCTTAGAGTTAGGGCCAATGGGTGAAAGTGGCAGAAAAAGCAGATTTGGATCTAGAATTAGGAAGAATTCTCTCATAATTTTAGCCATACAGAGGTGGAATAAATTTACCTCCAAGGGAATGAGTTCCCCAAGGCTGACACTGTTCAGAGGTTATAATCCCTTTACTTAAAGATGGTGTACAGGTGTGCAGGGATCTCTCCAATATTTTGCAAAGAATCTATAGTTATAATGAAAGATGCTTTAAAGGTCATTTAACATCACCGTTTTAAAAACTGAGGGTAAAAATGAATTTTATATCCTGCCTTTAAAAAGAAAACCTTTAACACATACCAATTTGCATATCATGGCTTTGTATTTGGGAAATGTGAAAAATATGGTGAAGTAGAGTTCAAGCTTCAGTATTTTAAAATCACAGTTCATTGTTTTTGATCACAGTAAATTCTTATCTAGCCGTAAATTTAGGAGCTTATAGATAAGAATATGGCTTTTTTAATAAAAATATATAACATAGCATTTTAGACACTGTTTTATGAGTGGAGAGAATTAATGTTTGAATTATCAGTAGTGGCAAAAGCATTTTCATTCGATGATAAAAGAAAACTTACATGTGTCAGTTCATTTTGAAGACAGTAGTAAGTGCTGGCATTTTATTATTTTGGCTTTTGAAATGGTTTTATTCTTTATTATTAGACTAGGAAAAAAAAGCCCTAGTATATTCTGCCAACATATTCATCAGTCATCATTTTTGGAGACAGTTTTCGACATATTGCATGTTTTACTGTGCTAACAAGAGAAAAGACTAGCCATTAAGTTTATGTTTCTTTGTTTTTCAGCAAGGTCACATATCAGGAATAATGCTAGAAGTATGCTAATAAACAATATATAATGTAGGTCATCAGGGAGTAAGAAATATTTTCTAACTAGTTCTAAAGGGAAATATTGTTAAAAAAGGGATAGATGTTATTTACGTAACACATGTTGCTCTATATGTCACCATCAAAAGCATCTTGTAAACAGCTCAGTGTAGTAAATCTTCCTTGGTGATTGTCAGGGTGTTTGAAGTCCGTGTTAGATTTAGATTCAGCACATAGTTCGCAATATGCCTAATGTACAAAGACCGTCAGATAATTTAGACAGCCTCCAGTGGAAATATGCCTATACTTGTGTGGTTTACAAAGAATATTGTTCACTGTTGCAGAAGAAAATATTATGTTAAATTACAATAATTAGGAAAAAATTATATTAATGGCATTTATAATTTTAAATCTCAAATGAATTATGCTAAATGTTTGTGCTTAACTTTGATTTTGTTAAGTTCTAAAGAACTTCAGTTCCTTCAAATTGATTGTAATTTACAGGCTAGTATTTCGTTATTAATGCCATTTGTAAGACAATTTTATATGACTTCAAATGAAACGATAATTCTGTAAAAAATGCTTGTAAGAAAATGTCATTTGTGTGATTTTACAAATGTAATTTTCTCATGTTTGGGACATTTTAAAAATGGATTATTTTCATAATGGTTTATTTTGTCTTCCAACATGGTTTTTAATTACAAATATTAAGATTCATCAAAAGGGAAGTTATGTAAGTATGTGCTCTGGAAAACACAACTAATACTCTATTTATTGAGTTCATCTCATAGGTACTGGGACTCAATAATAAAGATGTAAAATTATAATGGCTGCTTTATGGTTCAGAAATCAGAGAGCCTACCAGCATTTAGAGTCAAAAGAACGTATTTCTCTTCCCAGCTGTACGGCACCGTGACATCAAGCAAATCTTTCTATTTCTCTGGACCTCAGTTTCTTCATTTATGCTATAAGAATTGTAATAAAAATCTTGCTCTATCTACTTCACAGGACTGTTGTGTAAAATGATAAAATAGTGTTAGAATGTTCATTATGATACTATTTCTTAATAGGATGAAGTACATATTTAAATGCTAATACTTAGCAGCGTCTAAAACATCATTTAAATTGTAGACTTTAGCTAAAAATTATATCTCTAAATATTTTAGCTGGAATCCGTGAATCTTAACTTATTAGCCGTATTACTTATGGATATCTAGAAGCAACACCTAGTTATATTGGTCAGAATGAAATTGTGCCTGATCTTCAAAGACATTGGATTCTGAAACTCTGTAGGTTTTTTTTTAATACTCATGTTTTTTAAAACTGTATTTCTGTAATACTTCTGGTTTTAAAAACCTTCTGTTTTTGAGTTTAGGGATCTTTAAAAATATATTATGCCATAATTATGTGCTTCTCTTTCTTCTAAATGTCTGCAAATGAAAATGTGGTGTTGGGATCAAGCCATAAGGTGTAAGTAGGGAATTTGTGGAACTTGGGCCAAGTGGCCCTGTAGTTTAGTTTGTTTCTTAGCAACATAGGTAAGACCAGCATCTCAGAAAAATGTTTTTTAAACAAAGAAATAATTAAGAGTCCACGTGTCTAAGTAACTCTGTTTATACTTGTTTTCTCAGAAGAAGACCTATCAATGCATCAAGTGTCAGATGGTTTTCTACAATGAATGGGATATTCAGGTTCATGTTGCAAATCACATGATTGGTGAGTGACACTCTAAACCTTATTACAGATAGATGTTTCTTCTACTTGTGTATATCACCATTAAACAGAGTTAAAGATGAATTAATTGTTCAACCATCAATGGTGTTCCTCGGCATGATTGATTTTTTTTTTAATTTCTGTTATTAGTCCTGATAAGGTATTAGCACATTTTATTTTCTGCAAGGGCTAGTTTAGACTTCTGCAGAGGATTATATATCTACTGCCAGTCAAAACACAGGTGATTAACAAATTAAACTTCTAATCATTTTTGCATTATTGAAAACTAACAGGAATGGTTAATGAACTGGATGTTAGCTTTCCGTAGAGTTTTAGACAGGTTTTAATTTCAGAAGTTATTATGGTAATGGCACTGCTGTGTGTTGCTTAAGCATCTTTGTATCAAAATCTGAAGTAGTGAGTTTTTGTGATAGGGAAACATAAATAATTTAAATAGCCATAAAATAGTTTTATATGTATGGTTTCAACAGCCTGGAAATAATCATGATCATAAAGATCATGTAAAGAATTCAGTAATCATTTTTTATTCCCCACCAAATTTTCCGTAGATTGTTATAAAAGTGGTTTGGGGAAAGATTTCTGAAGTTACTCCAGGCCATGGTTTTTAGGATTTTGCATGTATCACATGGGCTAAAACTAAGAGGATATTTTTTTAACCTATTCATATTGTCCCATTATTTCTTAATTCCTCACGGATTAGTGCCTATGTCTTTTAATTTGATAAGCACTTAGTAATAACACTAAGCATTTTACCAGCCAATTAAACTTTATCAAGCAGATCATTTTTCTACTAGTAAAATGACAATTGCTATTACTTTATGCTATTCTTGTTATTCATTTGTGTTTTTTATACTACGAGTTTTTTATTTCATACTCACTTCATGGTATTTCATAATACCATAAATAATTATAATATTTAAAAAGTCAAATTAACCTCATACTCTCCTATGATGAAACTCTATAAGACAGGAAAGAAAATTCAACATTTGAGACTATGAACTTGTTTTCAGGGAGGAACCAGTTTTATTGTATACTAATTAGAAGTATTCTAAGAATGCTTTGTGGAAGGTTGTTCTCCTGTCATTTCTGATCATTAAAACTATAACAAAACTTCCATTTTTCTGATATAAATTAATGAAGATAAATTCAAAAGCATGTTGGAAAATTGATAATTTTTCAATAGGATGTGCTTTATGGTTTTCAAATGATAAGTAGGCAGTTGTTGCTTATAAACGACTAAGAGCTTATTTGTGCAAAATGGAACTTATACATAGCAGCTAAAATACTGATCAATTTATCTCTACATTTTCCAGATTTAAGTATTAATATTATTAGTGATTTCACCTATATTAAATAGTATATCCTTCAATGTGACAGTAGCGTTGACAACTTTAGTGAGTGATTAGAAGATAATGGCAACACGTAGGAGAGATTCAGATGTTTCCTTGAAATTCCCTTCTGTTTGAGAATGTGAAAAATACCTTATGTAAACTTTTAAAACAGCTTTTTAGAGGAGAGGAGTGGCTTAGAAAAAATGAATTCCTGCCAAATGATAAATGTTAATATTTCCCGTCTCTTTATTTCTTGAGTAGACTGTGTTGGTGGCAGTCATTCATGATTCTACCTCATGCTGCTCTTTTAGATAGGCTTGAATGAAAGCAGTTCTTAGAAGTTTGCAGTTCATGAGAAATTCAGTGAAGTTTTGTGGTCATGCTTCTTATTAGTTCTATTCAATGTAAACTTATTTTTGTTTCTGGATTTATTTGCCCAGTACTCAGATGAATATGTTGAATATATTTTCACCACAATGTTAATACTCTTTTGCACATTTAGAATTTCTATTGAATGTTCAGCATAACGGTACTTTTTGATTTTCCAATTTTAGTATCATTTTGCCTATAAACATTAATCAGTTTGTTTTGTCTTCTTTTTAAATTGCTTTGTATCATTCCTGTTTGTACTTATTTTATATTCCTTGCATCATTAGTGCTTTCCCAAGGCTTTTTCCCTTCTACCTTATAGTGGATTAATAAGACACTCACCTCTTGGGACCTGAGCATTTAACAATTCACCTTTCATCAGAGAAGCACATTCCATTCCTTTGCACAGAGGGTCTAGTTATTTAATATTCATGCCATTTTTAATAATAAAAATATGTAATTCTCTTGCACTTGAGGCCTAAATAAATGAGTAGCATCCATTTAATTGTTTTATCTGTTGACCATGCATCCAAGTCCTTACACCCTATTTGTGCTGTTAGTATCTAGAGAGAGAGAACGCAAAAATGAAGGGCGTCACAAAGGCTGATACCCCTTTTTAGAATTCTAATGTGCTATTTAGTCTTTCAAATGAGGCAGGCAGCATTATTTTGTTGGCTAAAATTCCTCCATTGAGGGTAGGTATTTTTAGGCTGTATATCTGTGTGTGTTTTTTGTCTAATCAAAAAATAATCTCAACTAGACATTCAGTAGAGGAAGGGGGATTAGGGACTATCTGAAAAGCCTCTTACTCCTTTTGTTAAGAGGGTATATAGTGTTCTTGCAGATTCTGTTTTACATTTCAATCAATGTAGAGGAAGGATTATGTCACCTGATGGAAAACAAGACCTACAGATGACCCAATGAGGTGTAACTTTAAATTCCTTCTTTACTCAAGTCATTTGCATTTGCTTCTGTGGCACCTATGTTTTTGTGCAATCTCAGTGTCAAGCAACCACCACACATCTTTCTGGATGTGCTGGTCTCAGGCTGTTGACCAGGGACATTTGTGAAAGGGAAACCATCAATGTTTCCACCAGGTACATACCGGAGGTGCTCTTCTTAAGTGTGGTTTTGCAGCAAGGTGTGGACACATGGTCTGAGTTGCAAGAATAATTACTCGATAAAAATGCACTAGGGAATTGACTTATGTCTATTAAGGAAAAAAAGAAAACCTCCCTCTTCACCACATTTCGACACAGTTTCAGTAAGAAATCAGACCAGTGACTATTCAGGGGTTTCTTTTCTTCTTTACACACACAGAAAAAGAGCTACAAAACATTTTAACAGCTTTCCTGGGGAAAAGATTTCCCTCTTTAAAGATCTGTGCCAATAAGAAAATTTTTCCTCTCTTCCTTTGTTCTTTTCACATAGTTTATGTTGGCTTTTGACCTGAGAATACAACAAGATACCAGGATGTATTAGGTGCTTTAATTTCCTATTCACCCTTCTCTTTTCTATCAGCATAGTAAATATTTATTGTTATTTTCCTCTTTGAGCTGTCTGTTATTATTATTATTCTTTGGTATGGATTAGTGCAAATAGAGATGAAACAAGAGAATTTAAATGTGTTTAACCCAGCAAAGGGATTGCCTCATATAAAATTATGAGGCTCAACAGCGTAGAGTAAATTTGTAAGTGCTCTGAATAAAGGGCTGTTAGGCATGAGATAATATAAAGAGATGACATTGCCAAGAACTATTTATGAGAAGCTTAATTTTTTCACTCTGATAATTCTTGACCAATAATTACCAGCCTCTAATTATCTATTTTAGTTAGAAAGAAATTTCGATCACTATGGAGGTTGGCATTGCAACTAGCGCATAAATCCCCAAAGAGACAAATGTGTTCCAAACAGCCACAAACAACTGTCTCATGAAACATAGTGAGCAAATTGCGAGCGGCTGGTGGTAGACAACCAGCAGTACACTCACCATCGAAGGCCAGTCAGCTTGACAAAGGAATGATCAAAGGGGAGAAATACCATTATCCTTGGAATTGATTACTATAGTTGTGGGCTTTGGAGGACAAGTAGTCAGTATATAGCTATGGCCATTTCCAGCCGTCCCTTTCAAAGTTCATGGATGGAGAAAATGAATGGACTAGGTACAAGCCTTTTACATAAGGATTATTTTTAATAATATACTTAGAAATGGTTACTTAATAAATTTTATTTTTTTTCATCTGTTTAGAAAGACCAGTGTTGTAATGGCTAAATTGTTCTAAGTGTCAGAATACCCCATTTTGTTAAAGATAGGAAAATCCAGAAATGGTAGCTAATAAACATGTCCTAGATAGATCAAGTGTAATGTTAGCATTTTGAAGAAGCAAATATATTTATCTCTTAGAAAAGCAGAGCTAGAATTTGGGATTGTAAAGGATAGCTAGTAGGAAAACACTGATGCAAAGATACTGACTTTGTATTTATATCTCTAATAAATACTCAGTATTTTATAGATAATCACGATTTTCAAAACACCAGGAAAAGATTAAGCTCTTCTCCAGCATATGTGGGAAGATATGTACTCTATGTGTTGTGTTACATGTGATATATATCACTGATGTCAAGGCATCAAGAATGAGTAAATCGGTTCTTAACAGTGTGGTGAAATTGTAGTCTGTTCTGTGGCAGGTGGCATTCATACATCCTGCAATTTGTTTGGTGCCCAAGGTCACAAATGGCATTGTTTTCCTTTCATTTCTTTAGTGGGTGGTGTACTATGAGACTAATCTTCATTATCGTTTTGTGGCATTCAGTATCACCTCTGAAGCATTTCAGCTTGAGTGCACTTGCTTTAGAAAAGACTAAAACCAGTATTTTGAGGTCCATAGTAGTTTAGGATTTTATGTCCTAAGGGAAAATATCCAAATATATGGAAGAGAAAGGTCCACGTTGCCCTTTAAACTCTTACTTTCACTGACTGGTTTCAAAAGAATGAATAGAAATGGATCAACAATAATGCCTATATGTGTGGGTATACATATGTGTTTATAATCTCCATGCTATCCTAAGAAGCTCAAAATCATTGAGATATTTTGGACTCTTGATTTACATTCATTCTAAATGAGAAGATGACTGAACGCTTTTTTTAAAAAAAATCATCTTTATTTGATTGCTTACAAAATTCAGAGAATTAAGAAACAAGCATTTGGTGTTAAATATGATAAAACACTGGCTTATTTCATCAAGAGCTGGATTAAAAAAGATGAAATCTGGGCAGTTTA